TATATATATATATATATATATATATATATATAGGTCAGTGGCCCTTGGCTTGGTATTGTTTGCAGAATTCGGCCCTCGGCGAAAACTATAAAAATGCGAAATAAAAATGCTGTTCATACATAAAACGACTTGAATACACCTCTTCTTGATATCATGATGAAGAAACATTTTAGCAAAACTGCTACACTTCTTTTAAATATTTGTAAAAAGTTTGCCTGCTAAATCAAAGTAAAATTTTGTCACCAAAAACAATTAATGAATGAATATTTCATGTTTGAAAAAAAAAAAAAAACTTATATATTGAAAATTCTATATTTTCTTAAAAATAGAAAGGTTTTCAAAACCTTATGAAAGTACTTTGCATGTGTTTGAAACTAGATTTTAAAATAACTTATATTAAGAGACCAAAAGACTGTAAAGTCGTCAAGCTAAAATCCTGTTTTGTCCTTGTGCCCTTGAAGAAAGAACTTAAATAAAGGTTGATCTGATTCACAAACAACAAGTAATTCTCTGTTTGATGTGTCCTATATTTAGTGTTCTAGTCATCTCTGACGCCTTCTGATCTCTGATTAATGAGCAAATTTAAAGACAATTTGATGTTAGGCTGACAAAAGGCGTATTCTAAGGCCAACTTTCAGGATTCTGTATTCTTTATTTTGCCGGATCTTGAGATCTGTGATATTGTGACGTCATAATTATGTTAGAGGTTAGAGAAGTGGAGCGAAACCTGAGAGCCAGACTGATCACGTCTACACAGCCACTAAACAATCACATCACACAAAACATCAAAGAGATCCTAGATATTGTAAAGGTCAAACATAAGAACAATATACTGTAAATCTAGCACAAATATTCTTAAGCACACAACTGGTGTCCCCTATATGCTAAAGAAACATTGCAAGTTTTTCATCTTTGGCTGACTTCAATTATCTTTCAATATTTCAATTTTGTGCCTTCAGGTAAAACTCGTAAATGTAAATAAAATGAAAAATAATTACACACACTGACTCACCTATCCTGTGTATGGCTTTTATGATGAGTAATTTGGCTGCCATCTGACAATAAGTCGCCATTCGTAACGCATTGTCTGTGTCTTGGTTTCTAAAGGGTATTATATTCATCATGCCCTATATGTATTATGTGTTCTCGTTTTCTTTATCTGTGTGTTACAAGAAATGAAGCATGCAGGAAAGACAGTCAGACTAAAAGAAAAAAGGACTGAAAAAAGGAAAGAGTTGTCATGGTGTCTTAAGATATTTGTCATGCTTGACATTGAAATGCAATGTGAAAACTTTTGACATTAAAGACATTTAAGTTTCGATTTCTTCTGCCATTACACATTTTTCTTTATTTTTCCTTGTAAATTAACTTGTTTGTCCAGTTTAAATTTCTTCTGGAAAAAAAAGATCCAAATACCATGGTATCAAATGAGTAAAAAAGCTATCAATATACTATTTACTACAATTTAATATGTGCGACTTCTCTAACAATTACCTCACAAATGTTTGCATTTATCATGACCCTACAAACATACCTGCAATTAATTAACAATGACTAATTGCCAAATTGTGAAAAATGTTCTCAGTGAAGTACGTGTGCTTGACAGCTGTGTATACTAAAAAGAATTTGAAGAGGATGACAAAAAAGGAGGAGGAGAATTAAGAGAAAAGAAGTGGGCAGGTGAGTGACAGATGAGAAGAGCAACCTGAGAAGCTTATAGAACTATATAAAAGGGGTTGTAAGAGTCTCAGAGGACCAAATTAAACACCAGCATCCAATCTGCTCGCGAACACTGGGACTGTGTGAAGATGTGGAGATTAACGTGTGTCACTTTGACCCTGCTCATGTGTGTCAATGGTAAGGTCTCATGGTATTTCTATGAAAGTGAGGATAACTGTGAACAAAGACATTATATAGAAAAACTGAATATATTTTTGCTTTTTTTGTGGCACAGCACATAAGAACAGTCTAAGGGCTTTGTTAAAATAATGATGCATTAACATGAAACTTGCAGTTCAGTATCATGTGTTGATTCATACGAATGATTAATTTGACCGGTAACTCCTGGGCTAGTGAGTCATTTTAAATGTTTTATCAAAGAGCCGACTCATAAGAATCATTTGTTCATCAATCAGACTAAACAAGTTCAGCAGCCAGTACTCCGGTCTTCAGTGTCACAAGATCCTTCAGAAGCATAAGAGCAAAAGAAAAAAAGCATATTCCAAACTTTGATGGCAATGTATATAAATACAAGTTATGCCCACCAACTAACTTGTTAATTGTTATTTATTAGCTAACAATTATTAGTGCAATAATGTTGCACAGGGTCATTATTCAGTGAAAAATGAAGATGAAATTGTTCTAATGCACACTTTATTTCTGCCCTTGCAGGTTCACTTTCTCAGTTGAATGGTAAGAGCTCCTCTTCTAAAGACATCAGCATCAAGTCAAATAGTAGAAATGTACAAATACCTATGTGAATTATCTCTCTTTCTCGTAGTTTGTGGACAGGCTCCTCTAAACACTCGTATTGTTGGTGGTGTGAACGCACCTGAGGGTTCATGGCCGTGGCAGGTCAGTCTGCACACTTCTGGACGTCATTTGTGCGGAGGCTCCCTCATCAACAATGAATGGGTGCTGACAGCAGCTCACTGCTTACCTGGGTAAGATTCACCAAGAGAAATCAAAAGATATTAAAGATAAAATTAAGATATTTTGTCATGTTTAACCTCCAAATGCAAAGTGGCAAAGGCACTTAGGTTTCAATTAGTTTTTACCAAATGCCAAAAATACCGCATTAAATGAGAAGAATTAATCACTTTACTATATTACAAAATAAAAAAATACTATATATATATATACTGTATATATATATTCTATTTTCTCACGTTCACATTCTCTGATTGTTTTCAGTGTCAGTGCATCCAGTCTGCGTGTGTATTTGGGAAGGAGGACACAGGAGGGAGTCAACACCCATGAAATCAGTAGAAATGTGAGAACCATAATCGTTCATCCCTCTTATGACAGCAACACAAACAACAATGACATCGCTCTGCTCCGGCTGTCCTCCACAGTCACCTTTAATAACTATATTAGACCCGTGTGTCTGGCGGCACAGAGCAGCGTCTTCATTTCTGGCACCAACAGCTGGATCACAGGCTGGGGAGATGTTCAAGCTGGAGGTACAAACACATGCAAATCCATTAATTCAAGTATACATCTCCTCCTAACATCACTAATAGAAGGTTATGTGTGTTTTGGTGTTCAGAGAGTTTACCTGCTCCTGGGATCCTGCAGGAGACTATGGTTCCAGTGGTGGCTAATGATCGATGTAATACTCTTCTGGGTTCTGGATCTGTTACCAGCAACATGATGTGTGCTGGTTTGACACAGGGAGGCAAAGACACCTGCCAGGTGCAATGAACAAACAGATTTTTGATCTAAGCATGTACAGCTACTGTATAACACACTTCAAGATCTACTGTTTTGCATTCACATTGTCTACTTCGTATAAATGCTTAAAATTAAGTAGCTCCAGTAATGTAAATATTCACTATAAAACAAAACAGTGATATAGAAGGTGACTAGGTTCACACATTGTCATGCTCACAAATACCATCACAGTAACACACAATATTAAAATAATTCAATAAACGTTAATTTAACAACATATGTTGTTACTTAAAACGTCTTTTTCTTTCCTCTTGTCCCTCTCTGTAGGGGGATTCTGGAGGTCCAATGGTGAGCAGGCAGTGCACAGTGTGGGTTCAATCTGGCATCACCAGCTGGGGTTATGGCTGTGCTGATCCCAACTCTCCTGGTGTTTACACCCGCGTGTCTCGATATCAGAGTTGGATCACCAACAGAATTGGTCAGAACCTGCCAGGATTTGTCGCCTTCAACCCCCCGACCTCATGCTCCTCTGCCAGCCTAAGTAAAAATCTCTCTCAAACACCTACACAGCGTATACCCACGTAAGAGAGCATACTTGTTTGACTAACGCAAAATGATTTGTATGTGCAGCCTCAACCTCCTGTAGGGGGAGATGCAATGAGAAGTACAACAGTCGCTTTCGCTGCAACTGCAATACTAACTGCAGTATAAACTGCTGCAGAGATTACAGACAGCGTTGTGCCAGTAAGTTCAAACACATTCATTTCAGTAATATTTAATTCACACTTAAAAATGTTGTTGCATTAGAAACAAAATATCACATTATTTGGCATCTGCATACAAATTATGCTAGTCATTTTTCTCAGCTTACTTCACTTTTTTGAGCAATTTTTGCAATCATGTTTAAATGCGATGTATGTATGAAGTCAATGTTTTTAATGTGTTTCCAGTTCTTTTTGTGAAATGTCCTACTTGAAAAGTGTTTTTTTTTAATCAATGCCACTTGCTTTGATATTTTGATACATAATGCAGACATACAAATCTGCATATATTTTACATACCCAATACCCATTTTTTAATTACTGCACTCATAGCTATACTAAATAAATTAAACATATACTTTGCATGTCCAAAAAGTAAACACCAAAACTGTTTCTTGCTCAATCCCATGACTTATATTTTTGTTTTTGTGTCTCTGCAGTGTGAGGTATGTCATACTTCCATGGATTATATATGATTACAGGCTTATAATCACGTCACTTGCACCTAAATTGAATGATCTTTATCTGCTTGTTCGGAGAGAAGATTTTTACTTGAGTGCCGCTTTGGATGCGTTGCACAGTCAGAAATAAACACAGTCAAAGAACTGCTGCACTGACTCATACTCAGGGGTGTAAATGCATATTGTTCGTGTTCAACATATGTTTAACAACAGCACCATTAGTAGAATCCTTGTCTCTTTTGTTTTTCTCTCTCTAGTTCTAGCATGTAATTGTTTAGCATTAATTGTAGGCATGGGCAACTTTTTTCCTTCATTTAGCATTTGCACTTTTCTTATATAAAAAAATGTGTTATAATTATCTAATATTTAAAATTGATTTTCTCATTTGTGATTTCTGCTGACAAACAAGTGGGCACGTCTTTAAGTTTCAATAAATTTTTGTCACACAATACTTCAAAGCATTGTCTGTCTTTTAATGGCTTTTCTTGTAATAAATCTATCCAACAGGAGTGTACAGCATCATAATGTAGCACAAACCCACTTTGCATTTTATTCAGGCATCATACAATTTTATATTTTTACAACAGTGAAATGATAAAACGGGTCATGTCAAAATCAATAGTAACATAATGATCAGAAAAACTATTAGAATATATTGGAATTCATAATGAATTATTATCTGTGGTCACACTTTATTTTTGGTTGCCGCAAGCCCGCCCGCCACTCCTTCGTCGAATCCGCCGGTCTCCACTCACTCAAGCCCGCCGGCCGCCGCTCACTCAAGGCCGTTGTGTCTGACGCTATGTGTTTCGTTGTGAAAGTGAAAATACTTTGTTTGGCCTTCCAAAAGAGGACACGACTAGAAATCAGTGGTTAAGTTGTATTTACAACACTGTTCCAGAACAGTTCAACAAAACGCTCTTCGGAAATCTACGGGTGACGTCACGGACACTACGTCCATGTTTTTATACAGTCTATGGCAGGGATGGGCAACTTTGATAGTGACGAGGGCCAGCATTTTTTCTCCTTTATACCAAGGGGCCAGATTACTAATCCACGTCCACACACCTTTTACACCGTCTTACTCAATTTCCTTTTTATTGAAGGAAATGAAAGTATAACTAATGTCATTTGTTTTTAAAGATTTTATTAAGTATAAAACTTGTGCTGTTATGCAAATTCAGGAGGAAAACTTTGTTGTTAGTGGACAGAAATATTACCCCGACAAGCCAATGTAAACATTTCAATTGCATTGTCTGTAAATTTGCAACAAACAAATATACAGAGGTCCTTTTTTTATTAGTAGCCTACAGAACATTCTCAAAACAACCTAAAAGGACAGTTAAAAAGGGCTTAATTAAAAAAAAAA